ATGGAACACCGAAAAGCTTGTACTATTTTAATATGTATGCTCAGAAATGTTGTGATGAGTGGCTTGGTTTTCTAGGCATTTATCAAACTTTACGTGAAAAATAGTCAAATACTTATTGTAGAAAATTGGATTTAGCCGTTCTGATTGTAAATACAATTTGTAATTATAAACAATACGCTGAATGACCCGAAACCAACGGCCCGAAAGGCCCGTCGTCCGCTGACATAGCTATCGCAAGAGCAGTTCATACACGTGAAGTGAACTCGCTCAACATGGCAAACCACACAAAGTACTCACCCGTCTCGTATAGCTGTCGGTTCTCGATCAATTTTGTCAAGTTTCGTACAAATGCATTAATGGAAATACTGCTCGGTACTTTATAAACTAAAAGTTAAGTTTCTTGTCGGATAATTCACGAGTGATATTTCAATACTTTTTTCATTTATGAGTCCTTCATAAGTAAGTCCAGGCCTAGATGTAGATCACATTATGAAGTGCACCTTCGGTAAAAAAAATTGCCACGCATGAAGTTCTCGCTCGCAGTTTTTTTAAGCAATGTATGAGCATGAAAGTTTGAGAATAAACTTAAAAGAGTAAAAGATAAGACTTTGAGGCAGGACCATGAGAATGAGTCCAATGATTAATTTCCAATTTTATCACAACATTTTCTACTCATGCTCCATATATTTCCAAATCACGGTCCTCTCTCCACCATTTTTGGGCTGTCATCTCATTTTCCTCCCTCCACGTCTATATCTTCACCTCGCCACACACACACGCACACTATATATACAGATATGGATTTTCCATTTCCAATTTTCCATCTATTTTCCGCGCTTCCCGCGTTTTCCTCTCCACGTCCAACCACCAAAACCTATGCCGATGGTGCTAACAAAGTCAGATTGCGAGCTCCATTGCACGTGTTGATGCAATGGATTTGAACAATTTCGCTCATTCTCCATGAACCAAAACATTCTCGGACGATCCCAGCTCATGATTGATTGTTCAATCATTAGGGTCAGTTTTTGTTTGCATACGCAGAATCTGGGCTGACCTGGTGAGTGCATCGTGTTTTGTTTCAGCTTGTGGATTTGAAATAATTAGGGGAATTTGAGGTGTCTGTGAATTTGAATGCTCGAACACGAGGATCATGGGCATCGATTTAGTTGATTATTCATGAATTATGTCGTGATTCTGTTGCCTGGTATCGATGAGGACATTCGATATTCTGCCTTATTTGGATAATCATCGAATGTTAAAATTGGTTTTGCTTTCTTCTTTGTGCAGAGCTGTTGTTTATGAATTCTTTGGTGGAACCTGAATTCTGTGGTTTGGTTCAATTATTAATGGTGATACTGCCTTGAGACGTGTCCTGGATTAATATAATTTGATATCTTTGGTTTCCTTACAATGTTGTCGAATAATAGTTTAGGAACACGATTGAAGATGGTATAGCTTTTAAAGATACTTGTGAATTTTGTATTCTCTGTGTTTGTGAATAGGCTGAAAGCTAAACAATAATCAAATGATCAAACATTTATCAGTTAATTGAATTGTACATCCTGAAAATTGAAATAATATGGAGACATATGATGGTTTGAACAGTCGAACAGATCTGCGAAGGAGGGGACACGTTCTTTGTTCATTTTTTTAGCAGTTTGGTTTTATGTATATATCCATATCCATGTGTTCGTATATACTAGATAAAGCATGAAGTGGCTACAAAAACCATCAATATGAATTTCTTTTTCATCCTTCAAATTCCTGCATGTTTTTCTTGATACCCTGTAACTTGTTATAGTATATGAATAACAAGCATAGATGGATTCAAGCAATAATTTTTTTTCTTGATACCCTGTAACTTGATATAACTTGTTATATCAATATGAAGTGGCTAATAATTTTTTTTTCTTTATCTAAAGCGTAGATGAATAACAAGCCGTCGAGCAAAAACTGAGCCGAGCGAAATGGATTCGGCTTCTGCCCAAACTTCCAAAACCTCAGCTTCAAACGCATCCAATAACAACAACAAGCTGAAGAAATCCAATCTCCTCGCGAAAAGAAGCTCCAATCTCGGCCACATTTCGCCACCATGCGAACCCATAACCGTGGACCCCACCAGAAACCACAAATCCCATAGCGAATTCCGAAAAAACGAGCCCACAATCATCCCATGCCCTCTCCCCACGCCCAGAACACTCACGAACCACGATTATTACCTCACGAGCAGCAGCACATCGCGAACCGTGTATTCTGCAATCTCGCCCGGCCTAAGAACACCGAGCAGCGGCCAGTCGAGCCCCAACAACAACAGCAGCCGAACGAGTGGAATCAGCTCACGAAGCGACAGCCTGGACAGCACAGGTGGCGGGACCCTCAAGCCCCACACAGGCGGTGACTTCAGGTGGGATGCCATCATAACTTGTGCCTCTTCGAAAGATTCTCCGTTAGGCCTCAGCAATTTTCGCCTCCTGAAGAGGCTCGGTTATGGAGATATTGGGTGTGTTTATCTTGTTGAGCTCAGGGGAGCTAATGCCTTCTTTGCGATGAAGGTTATGGATAAAGGATCGCTTGCGAGTAGAAATAAGCTGCTTAGAGCTCAGACGGAAAGGGAGATTCTTGGTCTTCTTGATCATCCTTTTCTGCCCACGTTGTATTCTTATTTCGAGACGGATAAGTTTTATTGTTTGGTTATGGAGTATTGCAGTGGAGGGAACTTGCATGCTCTGAGGCAAAAGCAGCCAAATAAGCACTTTACGGAGGAAGCTGCTAGGTAAGTGGTTACTTTAATTATTCTTTATGTGTTGTTTGATGCATTTAGTTGTAGTAAAATTAGAGATTGGTGCTTCGATTTGAATGAATTTGCCATGATCACATTTTTTATATTCTGAATTTAGAGGATCTAAGATAGATGCTCTCACATGATGCACTGATCTTTGGGTAGATCATCTTATTCGGTTTATTCATGTTTACTTGTTCAGCTATGGATTTAATGTGCTTTATAGTTTGAGGTGTCTGATTAAAACATGATTTTCAAATATCGTTCCGTGCTAGATACTAACTGCTTAGAATGTAACAATCACACATCGTTTGAACTTTGAATTAAACTGGACATTTGCTGTGAACAATTTGAGAACATGAAGAGGATAAGAACAGTTAGCTGCATCTGCATCCTTTTTGTTGTTCTGAAATTAGACACTCCACCTTTTAATATAATAATCTGATACCTGAGGCCTGTCTAGATTTGTGTATTTATTACAATTTAGATTGATGTTTTACAGCTACACCCTGAAAGTGATCACGCGCATAGAAAGAGACTATGAAAATTGGCATCCTTTTCCCAACATGGAAACCATTTTCCAAATTAACCTGATAACAGCATTGTTTATGCTATATTTATGCTTGAATTCTGCAATGCCAAAGACATTATGCCAATGAACATCTCTTTTTGTTATCTTTCTCCATATGGATACTCAGCAATCTTTCTCTTTCATCCAACAGCAGAATTGTGTCTCTTCTAATCTGAGCTATAGCTTATATGCAAATTCCAAAAAAATAAAAATAAGAAAAAAAAATATCTCTAACCAGAACTAACTTTTATTTATTTTTTTTTTCTCCAATCTCTAAACCTTTGATAGATTTTACGCATCAGAGATCTTGCTGGCACTCGAGTACCTCCACATGCTCGGAATTGTATACCGCGACTTGAAGCCCGAGAATGTCCTTATACGCGAAGAGGGTCACATAATGCTGTCCGATTTCGACCTCTCCCTCCGTTGTTCGGTCAGCCCAACGCTCGTCAAATCCTCATCCGTCCACAACGTAAACGGGACAGGTGGCGGCCTCCTATCGGACGATGACAGTGCACTGCGCGGGTGCATGCAGCCAACAGGCTTTCTCCCTCTCCTCCTCTCCACCAAAAAGAACCGAAAGTCCAAATCTGTATCGGGCCTCGGGCCCAACTCCTTACCCGAGCTCATGGCGGAGCCCACGGATGTTCGGTCCATGTCGTTCGTTGGGACCCATGAGTACCTTGCCCCTGAGATCATCCGTGGTGAGGGTCATGGGAGTGCGGTGGACTGGTGGACGTTTGGGGTTTTCTTGTACGAGCTCTTGCTCGGGACGACGCCTTTCAAGGGGTTGGGAAATCGGGCCACGCTTTGTAACGTCGTCGGCCAACCGTTGAAGTTTCCGGAAAGTCCACATGTGAGTGTCTTATTTCGGTGTGTGTGTGTGTGTGTAGACCTGAGTAGGGCTGCGAACGACTCGACTCGAGTCGAGTCGAGCATGGACCTTGTCAAGTGCAGATCGAACATTTTTCTTCACTGCTCGAGCTCGACGAGCCATGTAATTGGTGCTCGAGCTCGACTCGTGAAAAAAATAAAAAAGCTTGAGTTCGACTCGAAATTTTAACAACTAATTTTTTATATATCTAAATATAAAGGTACTATTTTCAATCTAAATAGACAATTTGACATTGGTGTTTTGTTCTAATATTGATAATTAAACTATATGTATATGGGGTATTTGTGTAAATAAAAAGTCGAGCGGCTTGTCGAGCTTACGAGCTTCTTGAAATGATGCTCGAGGCTCGACCCGTTTCTCGATTGAACTTCTCGAGCTTGAGTCAGCATTGACTCGAGTACTCGCGAGTGGCTCGTGAGCCGCTCGACTCGTTTGCAGCTCTAGCCGTGAGAATTCAAGTGATGTGTTGACTTTATTACAATCCGACCTCAGGTGAGTCCCAATGCAAGAGACCTTATCAAGGGGCTCCTGGTGAAGGAGCCTCACAAGAGGATCGCGTACAAAAGGGGAGCAACCGAGATCAAGCAGCACCCGTTTTTCGAGGGCGTGAATTGGGCTCTCGTGAGGTGCGCGGCCCCACCTCATGTGCCGGAGCCCGTGGATTTTGGTCAGTACACGAGCAAAGACTCGAGTTGTGGTCCGGATAGGAAGGTTGCTGATGTGTCGGGTGAAGGGAACAAAAGCAACTCGACAGATGCTGCTTATGTTGAGTTTGAGTACTTTTAGGATTGGAAAAACTCTTGATTTTTTTATGTGTATTTTGTACGTCTTTTGTTCATCAGATCAAATTTGTTAATTTGAGGCTGTGCCACTGCTGGGAGTAATAGGAAATATAGACGTTCAATCTTTTTACAATTGGGTCAAAGAAGGTTTTATATAAGGTTTTATATAATTTATATATATAATATATAAGATTAGTGCACCTACAAAAATATAAAAACTATTTTATAAAGGAATGTGAACAGATGAATAAGTGGTCTGATACTTATTTTTTTGCAAATTATTTTTTAGCAAATTTGATATGCTTAAGAAAATGAATATATACATCTCAAAGAAAAGAGGACAACGGGAGTAATTTAAAGGAAATTGTTTGAGACACAACGGGAGTAATTTAAAGGAAATTGTTTGATGATGCCTCAAATTATATATTAATAAATACTATTAAATTTATAATATAATTAGAAATATATTAATTTTTTCTTTTATTTTTTTTAGATAAAATAATATACTTTTTTGACAAAGTATGTACAATAAATACTAAAAAATTATAATTTAATCAACGACTTAGATTATAAATTTAAATTTTTTCATCAAACTTAGTTAAAGTTTTAGTATACTAGATATATGTTTTAGTAAATAAAATAATCTTTATATAATTGCTTTATTTATTTAAATTTTTGTTTTTATTAATTGTATGATGATAACTTAAATAATTAAATGTCTGTGAAATAATATATCTAATTTAACGATATTTGGATGTTAAAATAATTAAAAATAAAGAGGATAAAAAAGATATTTATATGGAGTAAACAGTTGAAGGTGAAACTTGATTTTTGTTTAACTCTAAACTCCACACTAGAATAGAAATAAGGGCTCGAGATAGCCTTAAAAATTTATTTTTTAAAACACATTTATTCTGCTAATGCTAATAATCATGTAATTTGATCCTTACAAATCTATANAGCTTGTCAGTAATATATATAGTATATGTGTAGTTTTTTATTTTACATTTTAGCTACTAAAAAGAAAAATTTATGGAATTTTTTTATTTTTCCTCTTTTTTTTTTCTTTTTAGCATTGCACATTTTATCGAATATAATCTTTCTGTAAAAGCATAAGTTTATAAATATGCGTAAAGTAAGAAATAATTTATTTATTTTATATGTACAATCTGCGATCTTAATATATATTTATTTATTATAAACATTTGTTACATGAATTATTTCATGTAATTAATATATTGAAGGAAAAATAATGAAATTTTCTTGGATCAATCGGGTGATTGAATAGGTTACTGCCCAATTTGATTAAATTACTTTTAGATGATATTTAAAATAGTATAAAACCATGACACAACCAGGGTTGATCCTTAGTCACGGTTCAGTTTGGCCAGACCAAACCGATTATTGAAACTAAATAAAAACTTTAATATTAAAAGTAACTATTAAAATTACTTTGGTATGTAAAGACCCTCGACCGGCTGTAATCGACTTGCTCACGTGCTTCCTTGCCGGTTGAACGTCTTAGACCTGCAAAGATTCCTACACTTGAGGGGTTTTATGGTGAAGAGTCTCCGTTACTTAAATGAGTATGTGTAGGAGATAAATTCCAGAAATATATAGTGAGAATGAACGTAATGAGTAGAGTTACACATCTCACCCCTATATATAGGGTGAGATACCTACTTCTAGAAGGTGAGCTGGCTGCCCAGGATACCCGATAGTACAACCTTTTTCTGCACAATGTGTTAAAGGTAGTTATGAGGCGTGGACCAATGAGGTGGTGCCACGTGATTTTACCCATGTGGGGACTTAACTCCCTCAAGATTTTTTTTTAAAAAAAGAAAATGGTTAGATTTAATAACTTTTTTTTAAGAAACAACCCGGAATGGTAGAGGTTTAAAGCCGGACCCCCAAGATTCCTTCTTTTCCTTTAATCTTTTGTATTAGACCGTTTAATGGTACGGCCAACCCTAAGTCGATTGAAGTAAAGCGCAATTGCTCCGAGTTTGAGTTCTGGTCAATCGCACGACCATCCGTATCTACAGGTCGAGTTTCTATCAAACCATCCAAGGGCCCTAGCTCGACCTGTTCTCATTGTTCCAACTCCCTTGCGCTGCCTTCCTGATCGAAGGCTCTTAATCCTGTGGTGCTCGACCACGGCCACTCTGTTCTGATTCCGCTCGACCAGGCGATTCAGCCTATTCGACCAGTTTACTCCTTTAAGTATGATATCCCATATCATACTTTATTACGATAAATATAATGTAATCCAAGCTCCAAAAATAATTTTATGAAAATAAGTTTAATGATTTATGAATGTTTATATATCATTTTATTATTATTTATGTAAACTAAATGATATTGTATTGCAACTTTTATAAATGTATGGTAAATCAAAGTTTCTCAGAATCGGACCATCATCGAACCGATCAGGTTATTTATTCAATACATTATTGGTTGGACTTGATTTTATTCATATAAAAAATAATTTTGAATGCTACAAAACTTATTTAAAAATCGTACAAATCCTCGAATTGGTGTTGATCAGTTCACAAACAAACATTTTATTCAAACGAACCGGACTGATCGATAAATCGGTTCACAATTCACTCTGTTGGACTATTCGGTCCGGTTTAATTTTAAAAACAATGAATAAATTATTGCTATATATATATATATTTAAATTATAATGCAATGATAACATTTTTTGCCGTTGAATAAGATCATATCTTTGAGGTGCAGTTTTCTAATAAATAGAACCCATTCAATAAAATTATACAAAAAATAAAAAAATTGGAATCACCATTTCATTTTTCAAGAAATTGACCATCAGCGCATGTTTTGAGTGTTTTGCCCTGTAAACAGCATATTCATAGCGGGCTATCAAGTATCAAGTGTATAGAACTGTGTATGTAAAAAGTAGACCAAATTCCAGCACTTTATTTATTTTCCATTTTCCTTACTCAATTTCAATCAGTATTATTTCTTAAAAAAAAAAAAAATAGTGTACTCTCTGAGCACAGCGAGCCGAGGACGAACTGCGTGGATCAGCTGCTAAATGGCCTTCGATAAGATCAAAGTCGTTAATCCGATCGTTGAGATGGACGGTCAGCTTCATCATATGCCCAAAGCCTTTTATTTTTTCACATCTGCTAGTTAAATTCCGAGTGGATACGCGTATAATGTATATAAATCATTAAAAATGTTTTTTTTCTCTGTAACTGTTCGCCCATTTTTTTTTTCGCCCCTTTCTCTTGGTTCTGAAGAAATTTAAGTATTTTAGTAATTTGGGTCACGGAGATTAAGTGAAAAGTTGGTTTATTGGTTATGATGGAGATGCTTGTGATCTGCTTCTCTAAGGATGGTGATTGATATTTTGGTGAAATTTTGAAGTTAAAGCACCAGGGTATTGTTCAATTGTGCTGTTTAGGTTTTTTCCTCATGTTTTTATGTAATTGGGAAAGTGCTAACTCCCACTTGTGTTGTTTTGATATTAATTTAGCTTCTCATTTTGGATTTCATCTCTACTTAATTCGAGCTATTACTTGATTTGTGTGAGGAAATTATCTCCCCACTTTATGCACAACACAAGTAGAAAAATCCCTTTAACATGTAAAACCAATAGTTTTACTCGCCTCACTTGCCTCCCAATTTACATTGCATTAAATAGGAAAAACTATCGGTCTGATTCTAATACGGACTGTGGTGCAGGTGATGAAATGACTCGTGTGATCTGGAAATCTATAAAAGAAAAGGTGTGTGTATTTTGATTTTCCGTTTTCTTGTTTCGGAAAATAATCAGTGCCCTGAAATCTTGAATTGTTTTGTTTTTTTTTGTTTTTTTGTTTTTTTGTTTTTTTGTTTTTTTTTTT